CGACATGGTATAGGCCACCTAATTCACCAGCGGTAAAGTTCAGTCACTTTGAATCTCTCCTAGGTATACTTGATGCTGAAAATATTGAGTACTATCTAATGGGTGACCTGAATTGTGATCTCAGCTCTACTGTCCTAGATCATAGTTCAAGGCTGCTCATTGATATTGCTGAACTATACAATCTTTCTCAGCTGATAAATGAGCCCACTCGAACCACGGATTCCTCCTCTACGTTGATAGATCATATCTTTACAAATACTCCCGATAAAGTAGTTTGCACTGGTGTCTCTCATGTTAGTATAAGCGATCACAGTCTCATTTATGCTTTTCGAAAGCTTTCTATTAGTCTGCCGACAAGGGGTCACGCAACGGTAAACTATAGAAAGTTTAAAAACTTTGACTCCATCAAATTTCGTAATGATATTAGTCTACAAAATTGGAGCCATATTATAGAACTTGAAAATCCTAATGATATGTGGCATGCTTGGAAAACTACATTCAATTCTGTAGTCGATAAACATGCCCCACTTTGTACAAAACGTGTCAAGGCTTCTAAATCGCCTTGGATTACGTCTCACCTGAAGGACGAAATGCACAAAAGAGATATTCAAAAAATCAAAGCGATTCGTTCCAACGATCCTCAGGATTGGTCTTCATTTAAGAAAATGCGTAATTCAGTTAATCACAAAACCTTTCGTGCTAAAGAAACTTATTTCAAAAATGCTTTCTGCGAAAATAAAGGAAACCCTAAAAAGACTTGGAATATTATCAACGAACTTACATCTAAGAATCAAAAAACTGCTCAAATTACCGAAATTAATTTGAACGGTCACTTAATTAATGATTCTAATGAAATCGCTGATGCATTTAATGAATATTTCTCTAACATCGGCCCCAAACTTGCGGATAACATAGACTTCAATGAAGGCAACCGGTCCTACCACGAATATTTATCTGGTCAAAATACTAATACGACGTTCCAGTTGAAAGAAACAAATTCCTTAACAGTTTCTGTACTTTTGTCCAAACTAAGTAGGTCAAAAGCAGTTGGCTTGGACTAAATCTCCGCTAGATTACTTCGAGAGTGCCCTGATTTAATCGCCGAACACCTTGGTCTCATCTTTAATCGTTCTATTATCACAGGCATATTTCCCAATGAGTGGAAATGCGCAAAAGTTGTCCCAATTCACAAGCAAGGGAAACGTAATTGCGTTGATAATTATCGTCCGATTTCCATTATCCCTGTTGTGGCTAAGGTTTTTGAAAGGATAATTTATGACCAGTTACATTTATATCTATCTGAAAATAAACTCCTAACTAATTGTCAGTCAGGGTTTCGTGGTTTACACTCAACTGTCACTGCTCTTCTTGAGGCCACCAATGAATGGGCTCATAATATAGATCATGGAAACATATATGCTGTCCTGTTTCTTGACCTCAGGAAGGCGTTTGATACTGTAGATCACGAAATCTTGTTAGGTAAGCTTAATGCATATGGCATCAGTTTGATACTGTAGATCACGAAATCTTGTTAGGTAAGCTTAATGCATATGGCATCAGTGGAGTAGCTGGAAATTGGTTTAGATCTTATCTTAGTGAACGTCAACAAATGTGTTGTGTTAATGGTCATTCTTCGAATAGTCATTTTCTTCGATGTGGAGTTCCCCAGGGAAATATATTAGGTCCACTTCTATTTTTAATCTATATCAATGACCTGCCTAATTGTCTTGTACATTCCCGTGCACGTATGTTTGCTGATGACACTAATTTGACATATGCAAGTAATAATATTTACGATATCAATCATAACTTTAATGAAGATCTTGCCCATGTCAGTGAATGGTTATCAGCAAATAGGCTTACTTTAAATCAAACTAAAACTGAATTAATGTTGATTGGCTCCCATCAAAGGATGAATACTTTTCACGCAACTCCTTCTTTAGCAATTAATAACGTTCCAATTGGGCAAGTCTCTCACACAAATCACATAAAGTCACTGGGCACACATATCGATGAGAAGTTGTCCTGGAATGTTCACATTGAAAAATTGTGTAAAAAAAAATTGTGTAAAAAAGTTGCTAGTGGCATAGGTGCTTTAAAGCGCATAAGACCTTTTGTTTCACCTTCCACAATGCAACTGATTTACAATTGTCTAGTCCAGCCATATTTCGACTACTGCTCAGTTATCTGAGATAGTTGCGGGAGTACTCGTGCGGATAAACTACAAAAACTACAAAATCGTGCCGCAAGAGTACTGACGTCATCCAGTTATGATACAAATGCCGATTATCTGTTTGAAATACTTGGTTGGAAAAATCGTGCATCTCAGCGTAAGATTGCCAAAGCTATCATGGTATATAAATCTGTGAATGGCCTTGCACCAGATTACCTCTCCGAAATGTTTGTTGATCGCAGTAACATTACAAATTACACATTGAGAGACACCACCGGCAAACTTGCGATACCACAACCGCGTACAAACTATTTGAAAAATAGTTTTAGTTACAGTGGTGCGGTACTGTGGAATTCTCTTCCTACAGAATTACGGCAGGCTAGCTCTTTACGTAAATTCAAGGCTGATTGTAGCAACTTCATTCGATAATTTTAATATTTTTACTCCTATCTACATTATTAGTTAATAATGCACGGCACTCATGGAAAACAGGTATTAATAATGTATTTCCATATTTTGTTATTTGTAATGTCCCTTGTCTATTTTATTGTAAATCCTGATGAGTCTACCGTGGTTAAATAAAGTTCACTTACTTACTTCTAGGATCTTGGTTTTAGAAGAAGCTTCACGATTTCCGATCTTATAGCGATAAAGTAAACTATGTTTTCGAGGGGGGCAAATTTTCGAAGGGGGGTGCATATTTCCCCGGACATCGGCTTCTACAGCTTCGTTGAACTCTTCAAGTGTTGACATCTTGGAATCATTTAAAGCGTTAAATCAAATATCATCTGACTGTAATCATATGTTTAATTGAACAATTTGAAATGTTGTTTCCTCAAAAAAAATGGCGAAATAAGGCCAAAAACTGTCGAGAAACAGACGAGTTTTGCAAGAAACACGAGTTTTGCAAGAAACGGCACAAGATCTTCCAGGCGCTCCTCAAATTTCGATGCCTCAAGCCCATAAACCCCTGCGCTTGTTCGTCGCGATGCACTACTTCATGTAAACCTTTCATAAGTGACTCGCATGAAACTTTTTATTAGCGCCTGGGGACGAGGCAAGGGCTCACCTTAGACAAGCTCACAATGCATTATCGACAAATTCAAACACTCGTTGAATTTGAAAGTACATTAGGCGAATTAACACATTTAGTGACCAGATAATTTGACAAAATTATTAATTTGACAAATTTATATATTTATTTGACGAATTCGAAATAGCCGATAGCCAAATTTACACACATGCATTTTGAACCCAACAAAGCGCTATATTTGCAAGTGAGTTTTTCAAATTTGTGAAGGTAATGAGGAAAATTGCAATCAAGTTAGGAACTCAAAAGAGGAACGCTTGACGTAGTTCGCCTGCAAAATTACAGCTTGAAACACTGTTTTATCAAAGGTTATTAAATGTAAGATTTCGCATATACAAAGCGACTGTAAAATCATGCCAAAATTAAGCCGTTTAGACAAAAACGTACTGAGCCTCGTATTAGTCGGCAAAGTTCTCGGCTATGAACAACTTGTATTGAAATTCTTCTAAGTTCTTCTACATTTTTGCTAGTTTTTTAGTTGAATTGTTTTTAAATTCATTTAAATACGTTTGGAACACGAAAACTAAGAAGACTTGCCCTCCCCAAACGTTTTCACAAGGTGAGTAGATTTCCTATATATCTATATGTTATATGCGCAGTGATCTAGAAATTATAGGCATAGTAAAGATAGTATTTGAAATAGATCTTTTCTATTTTTTTAAGAGTGTGAGCTGTTTTCCATTTACAGATAGTTTTATTCTTGAGTTCAATTATTCTTCATGTGCTGGCTATTATAATAGCTAGCTGAATCCCTCAGTAAGTCACTAATATTACCGAAACAGAACATGTAAATTAACCAAATTTTTTGCCAACATTTTGCGGTGTAAATTCTCAAATTTGAACCAGAAAGTGTAGCAATGCCTTCATCTTTTTTATTAATTTTCCTGGGGAAGTATCCTCAATATCACCCTGTTTTAACACTGCCCTCCTCGAATTTCATCCTCCCACACCAAACTTAAAATATCCTCCTACGCCACAGCTGCATACCTCTGCATTAAGTAAATAATGATTTGCATACACTACTACCGAAACAGAATATGTAAATGAATCAGATGTTTTGCCATGAAACATCAGTTGTGGTGTAAATTCCTCAATTTGAACCAGAAAGTGTAGCATTACCTTCCCTCTTTTTAAAATTTCCCTGGGGAAGTATTCCCCATATCCCCATAGTTTTAACAACGCCCTCCTCGAATGTCAATCCCCTCCCCTTCTAATTCAAAATATCCTCCTACGCCATTGCTGCATATGTACATAATAATTTGCATACAGTATACAAAAGTCAACGCAGATACAGACTGTTTCACATTGTGGAACATGATTTGTATATTTACCCACAGTAAATTACGTGTATGAAAGTCGTCCAAAACCCCAATATCTGTGAATGACAATACAGAGTTATATATGATGTAGATTCAAAATTGGTTGCAACCTGCTGGTTGAGTTATGCAGTCTGAGTACGCTCTTGTGATTATGTATTGTGCTCAAATAAAGAAAACTGATATCATGCTGGAGTTTTAATCATATGATTTCATAGTTCCAAGTATTTTGAATAATCAAGGTTTTGTTATTGCAAAATGAAACCAAAGTGAATAGAAGGTCTTAAAAACTTCGCCTGACTCTCGCTGTTGATTTATTTGCTTTACAATGTGAGATAAACGTTATAAAGGAAGGTCTTTGGCATATCTATTTCCACAATGGTCAATGGAAAGCAGAGCAATGTTTTGTGAGCCGTAAATAATGGCTTGTTTCCCGACGGAAAAGGAATATGGCTACGACGATAGCAGGTTTGAGAATGACGTTGACCAGCACTTTCATTGTTCTATCTGCTACAATGTTCTTAAAGAACCAAGGATGTGTAGAAATAATGAACACGTCTTTTGTCTTGCCTGCATCAGTGAACATCTGAAAGTAAATTCTCAAACTTGCCCTGAATGCAACGAACATTTGAGTGTTGATACGCTTCGTCGGCCGCGTTTAGTGAATAATTATTTGTCTAAGCTGAAGATTAATTGTGATTATGCCAGTCGAGGATGTCCTGAGTTTACTTGTGTTGCAGACCTCCAAACTCATGTTGCCAATTGCGAGTTTGCTCCTGTGTTTTGTTCGAATGAAAATTGTGGCATGGAGATTAATAAGCAAGACCAGGTCCATCACGAGACCGAACGTTGTGAATACAGGAAAGTGAAATGTTCTGACTATGACAAGATACAAGAAGATATCGGTACATTGAAAGGAAGTCTGACAGAACTGAATGGGAAAGTTGAAGCAGTGGGGAAAAAAATGGAAAAAAACATAGCGAATAATCATGTTGAAATGAAAAGAATTGTGGGAAAATTGGAAGGAAGCTTAGTGGGAATGAGTAAAAGGATCGACGAAAAAGTGGAAGCATCGAAGAACAGCCACGAAGAAATGAAACATGACCAACACGAAGTTAAGAAAGAAATGCGTACTATGGAAGAAAATCTCTCAAATATGAACAAAGACGTGGACGAGTTCAAAGTCATGATGAGTCAAATGTTAGAGAAGCTAAACATGCTTGAATTGCTCAACAAACTTCCATCTCCTAGTGTGGGAATGTTGAATACACCAAGAGAAGATATTTTGATTGCTGGTGGCTCTGGCTGCGATTCAGGATGTAGTGCAGAAATATTTTCCTGGGAGACGAATGGTTGGTATGAGGTGGCGGCAATGAATGAGAGACATGAAGGAGCTTCATCATTTATTTATAATGATCA